ATCTCTATAGCATAGCCTGGGCATAATAATTGGTCTACAATTATATTTAATAACTTTATTTTGCAATAATATTGAGAACTATAAATATAACTGAAAACTATGAAATAAACTTTAAATTATACTTTATAGGGTACGCCACTTAGTTTTGTCTTATATCTGATTTGAATTATTTTTCATTCTAGATAAAGATTCTCTTAATTATACTATAATACGTACATTGTACTCGCTATTAAGAAAAACATTTTATGTCCAAACATCATTTTCTTTTCTATTTTTTAAGGATACACATGTCACGGTTCATGGATTAGTATTTAAACGTGAACAAAGATAAACATACAAGAATCATTAAAATAATTGAGCATAGAAGGGGGAGAGTGCTTGCCATAAGATAGATAAACAAATAACAAATATATTTTAATTAGAAGTTAGGATTCAAATATGAATGATTAGTAAAGCCATCAAGAAATTAATATTAAAATTAGGGCACCATTCCAATTATGACCAATCAAATAACAGGGGCTTCATTGGACCGACTAAGCCTATAAATATTTTACATAATGGTTTAGTGGATGATTAAGACTCCTAATCAACTTGTTTTTTATTCCATTATATATTTTGTTATAACTTGAAAAGGGTCTAGAATGATGATGTTAGAAATAATCCCTAAAATATGTGACTATAATTGGAAAGCAACTTAATGGATTTGTTTTTTAAAAGCCACCTATGTAGCTAGGAAAAGAATAATTCAAACAGCTATAAAATAGAGTTATCTAGCAGAACAAAAAAAAAAACTAAAATAATTACCATACTAAAAATTGTTCATTTTGTATATTTGAGTATTTGATTTTCTATTATTTTTATATTAAATCTAATAAAGTTAGTTCATGACACTTTGAAATCGCTAGAAACAATAATTTGTGGTAGTTTAGTTAACTGTGAAGGTTAAACTAATCAGAGATCTAATTATATTTCTTTAGCTTAAAATTGTGATTATAAAATCTCAAATAAATTAATATATTAAATTTATTTCCAATAGATAAAGAAAATTATATGCTTCAATATTATATTAAAACTTGGAACCTTGTTCATTTAGATAATTGGGTAGCATGAGTGTTTAATTTACAAAGACAACCTTGACCCGTTTCATTTGTCCAAACTCTAAATATTTAGAAATAAATAATGGTTAAAAAAGAAAACAATTCTTTTTCCCCAAAGAAACAATGTACTTTGAAAGCATGCAATTTTTTAAATGTCCGAAACAATCTTAAACACGAACTCTTAAGAAATGGGATTAAAATATTGAGATTAGATTTCATGAACTCATATGTAACAAAAATTTTAATATAAATGTTTTTCATAACTTAATCACCTAAAGTATAAAATTACTCAAACCTCCTAACATTTAGATGCGAGAGTCTAATTTCATCAAACATTAATTCCCTAGTCTAGTTTACCAAAAATATTTGTATTAAGAAAATGATTGATTAGAATCACGAAAGTTTTAAATATAATCTCTAAATCAATTCTTAGTTATTCCACTTTTATGTTTAAAAATTTCGATCATTTAACACTGAGAATCTTGGAAAAAAAAAACCCACAAAAGAAGAACAAGAGATAGTGAACAAAATATATATTAAAACTATAAAGATTTTACATTGAGTCATAATATTATAGATATTTGTTACTCTATGACTTGTGATTACAAAAAATATTAAGAAATGAAAATGTTTAGAGAAGTAGTTTTTTATGCATTTCTTGAAAGGCCTTCGAGATGTCTACTAAAGAAGACAACCTTCCCAATCCAAATTGGGAAAGAGTTAGTATGATATGAGTAATCACCATATTAATGCAAAACTAATATTAGACCCATCCATTAATGATTTAACCAACCAAAATATATAAATGGAGGATAATTATTACCTTATAAATCAATTTTATGTAATTAAATTAGACTATTTAATCTATATTTTGAAGATGATATCAAAATATATCATCATATTATAATCCAAAGTTCAAATTGTAAGATAATATCAAAGTCTATATCATTAACAGTATCAAACAATGTATTTAAAATTTTGCACTAGAATTATTCAATATATATATATATATATATATATATATATATATATTAAATATTACACTTTAACTTTATCAAATTAAAATATAATTCTTATATATATATAATCATATAACATAAATTCTTGAAGAAAAACTTAAATTTTCATATAAATAAAAAGTATATATTAATCTAAAATATGAAATGAAATTAGTTATTATAAAAATTAATTGATTTAATATATACTACCATTTATAATAGAAAGAAATTTATAAAATCTTAACCTATACCAAAGACGTATTTTAATTAAATTCTTATTGATATCATTACAACATATAACAAAGACTAAGATTTGAATGATTTATATGCTAACACATATAATTAGTCTAATTAAAGACTTTTCAAATTTAAACTCTAAAATTAAAGAATAGCTTGTACTGCAACACATTTAGGTTTTCGGTTTAGTTTATTTCATCTTGAAGAAGTATACTATCACGTGAATGAAATTTTAGTAAAACCAAGAGGAGAAAGATCTAAAGTATTTTTAAAATACTTTTGAAAACTATATGGTCAGAAGTTGTTATCCGCAGATAATTTCTATCTTTCCTTAGTATCACGAGGACTTTTCCTGGGTTGTATACATGCATTTTAATATATATAAACACTTTTGCAGTTTTAGAATAGTATTATTGAAGACTTACAAAATTAACAATTGTGCAGTCTACCCTAACCCCAAAGGAAAAATAAAATAAAATCCTGGGCAGTCAAAGATCAAATTTTTAAATGATCCCAGGAACAAAATTTTCTGACAAATTAAATTCAACTATTCAGCATTGAAATATTATTAAAAAGAACGGACATTATTGACTTTGTTTTTCTCCCCGAATCTCCAAGATCTTCAATTAAAAATGATCTTAAACTAATCACAAACTAATAATAAGTATTAAGAAATAATGGCATTCAAGCATGTGTCCGGCGGCTGGTTACAGAAAGGATTAATTAAAGAAAGATAATTAAAAAGGAGCTTTAGTTTGTCATCTAGTGTTTGACAATAAGAAAATGTGCGTGATATAAATATATATTTTTATCAAATGTTGGTGTGATGTGTTAATTTATAATTAAACATCAATTTGTATAGATAAGAGTAAGGAGAGCGTTTTTAGTATTTAATTAAAAGGGTGATTGATTAAATTAAGGATGTAATAGGTTACTAGGTTAGGTTTGTTCTGTAACAAATATGTATATTAATTATGACAAATTTGATGAAACAAAAATAATCAATTCAAATTCTACAGTAAAAGCTTAGACTTGGTTTCATGTTCTAGTGGCACATGGATTCACAAAACAAGTCATCTCTTTGATTTTCTCCACCTACATAGCCTGAGTCATATATTGCACCAAAAATTTATTTGTATCGTTAGTTGATGACGAATTGTGGGAGGAGGAAGCATTATAGTATTAGGAGATTAAAAAAAGGAAGATATGGTAAGAAAAAAAGAGAAACCATTATAGGTTAGATGGGGATAAGCACCATGGAAAAAAGAAAATTATATTTTAGAGCCTAACAAAAACACTAAAGTCAACTATTTTAACTGTTTTATTTCATATATTTTTCAAAATATATATCAAAGTTAATGGTTATAATGAAGTGAGATTATAATCTCTTATATATAAGGTGTTTTCTAGTATAGGATTCTAACTCTTTGATTGCATGTAAAGCACTAATTTTCTACGGCTTTATGAGAGCTGAAATTTACCTCCTAATGATTTGACTTTTATAAGTTGGGTGAGTAAAAATTTCAAAGGGTTTGTTGTAACAACGATTTTTGCAATTCTTAGAGAATGTAATGCTGAAGGAGAATCCTAATAATTTACCTTTAAATATTGATTAAGGAATTAAAAATATTTTTTTTGAATTAAACACTGTTATACGCTTCTATAAGTCGATTATTGTTGTTGTATATATATTCTGAATAATTTTTAGGTGGTTTTGACCACCACTGTTCATAATTTTGACAATCTTTGCATGACGCTTGTGTCAAAAGTCAAACCATACTGGTTGGAGAAATTTGATTCCATTCATTGAGACATTGTTTTAGTAATGCAAGCAATTACACCTGCGAAAATTGTATCTTAAATAAGACGAGATTAGGACATAGGTAATGATAAAAAGTAAATCGTCAATCCATAAATATTTTCAGATAAAAAAAATGTCATTAGATTTGTATTAGTCTTTATTATCTACGTATACCTCATGGAAAAACTGAATAAAGAAACCAAATATTTTACCCCAGGTGTTATGACCATGTTCAGTTTTGAAATTCGCAAAATTTTCGGATTTGACACCCTTATCTTCACTTTGCGTGTCTCATTGGAATTTCTTGACATGTAACTATATTTTTGTGTTGGTTTATATATATGATTCTATGAATATAAATTGGGTAAATAAGATATGTAGTTATTTATATCATTCATTAATAAAAAAATATCATATATAAATTAGTTTGATAATATTTACAATAAAGCTATACTAATAATAGTTTTTTTATTAGTTCCCACTATACTTTTCTTACAATTGAAACTGCCATTTGTGTCTTACACAAATAGATAACTGAACTTAGAGAATGAAAGAGAAGGTTATCCAATATGTACTTCGAATGTAGAGAAGTGTATCTAATCTATATCAAATGGCTACAAGCTATGATAAATACATCATATGAATTGTATATGTTGTCTGAATTCTGAAAGGTGATCCCTGTCAGACTCTTCGGTGAATGGCTTTGCAGAGGCCAAGGTAATTTACCTCAAATGAATTGTTTTTTTTTTTTTTTTTTTACCTTTTCTCATTTTCTTTTTCCAGATGTTTGAGAATTTATGCATTAAAATAATTCAAGAAAAAACAAGGAAACTGTTGATTTAACCTACATGTCCTATATATACTAAATTACATCCTTCTTAGAGAACTTCTTGTATTTGACTCCAAATTGAGGCCTAGTTTAAGATCTAGGGCTTTACTATGGCTCTGGTTTGAAGCAGGGAAGTGGCAAGGCTTGTGGATGAAAGGACTAGTATTATTTGCATTGGAGAAAGTGAACATGAAAGTATCTTGTTGTGAAGGTGGGTGTGATGGCAGAGAATACCAACTAGATTTTTGGGCACAAGAAAAGTTGGTATCTAAAACATTTGAATTGAAGCTAATCTGAGGTTCTTCACAAAGGGTGAACTCAGAATTATAGGTAGAGGGGTCATAGAACCAAGGACTATCTGAGGCTTGGTAAGCAAAACCATGGTTGGTTTGGAAGGGGTGTTGGAGGTAACGGTTTATAGATTGAAGCTGCAACCTCTTCTTCTTCATTCTCTCTTTCTTGTGAGCATTTTGGTGGCCCCCTAATGCTTGTGAGTTTGCAAATTCTTTGAAACAGTACTGACACTCGAACTTCTTCTCATCTGGGTCTTTGGCTGAGGTTTTTTCTTGCACTGTTTTGTCTCCTGCTGATGAGACTGAGTTAGAGGAGTTTACACTTTCATCTCCTTCACCAGACTCTTTGGCACAACCCTCTTTAGAAGGGTTTAGCTCAAAGCCAAATAATCTGAGCCTTTTCTCAGTAGAGTTGCCATTATCACCATCCGATGTTGGAGAAAGATCACAGATATCCTTTTCCATCTCTCTTCGGTAAAAGAAATATTTTGAGGTGGGAAATGCAGTGATTAGTTGTTAGGCTTCTCTTCCTTTTATAGTAAACTCTCCAAGTACCAGCATGCATTGTATCTATTAAAAAAACTAGTTTTATAGTACATGGAGAGCATAAGGGAACCCCAGGGTCAATAGAATAAAAGATTAAAAAGAAAAGTCAGATTAGGGAAAGCCGTCTCTCATGCAATGTTTGTTAGTAAAGAAACTCTTTTTAGTGTTGTAGTAGATGCACCTCAAACTTCTCAATCAAAGAGGATTCACTGTGATTTGTTTAAGGTGGAATCAGATGGTCTATAAGCACTTAATAATATTTATAGTTCCACTTGTCTTTTTCCCTTATTAAAAACAGACATATTCCATGCTTAGGACATGATTAAAGTTATTAAACTAACTGTAGCTGCAAAAAGTCAAAGAAAGAGGGGCACTAACTTTGTAACATATCTACTACTGTACTAAAATTCATATCTAATTATTTTACTGACCACCCAATGACTTGTTTGCTTCATGTATTGTCCTCTGCCTAGGCTAATCATGTATCATAAAGTTTGCCAAAATGAATTGTAATGCAATATTGGATGCTAAGCCATAACCGAGTCCTATCTACTTGAGTTGATTCAATTGATGTTATTCATAAAATGCTGACATGTGTATAAATAAATTCAGCACTAAATAAAGCTTCTTTGTGATTATCCCTCTACCCACAATCACATTAAAAAAAAGACCCTTAATCTGTTTTTTCTTGACCATGTTTTATGAATGCTGGTGATACAGAAAAGAAAGAGTAGAAGCTTCAAAAAAAGGAATAAAAGAAGTGGGCAATGATGTAAGCATATATACTAATAAGAGTCTTCCATAAGATCTGGGCATATCTTCTTAGAGCAGGGAAAGCCTATATTTTATAAAACTTATATTTTCAGGTGAATCAAGTCATCAACTATAGTATTATTCTACAAATAAACGCAGCATTTGCGTTGGACAGTTGTTATAGTTGGTCCCACACATTGTTGCTTTTGGGACAATTTAGAAATCATTAGATTGTGTTTTATTCCATTGTCTCTAACTAGATCTTCCATTGGTTGACTTCTTCCTCCAATAAGCCTCTCATGCTCATCAATTTCCCACTCCTTTTTCTCAATTTTCATGCTTATTAAACTCTTTTTTCTTGCTTTAGGAGGAGAATTCCAAGTAGGCATGCTGTCATCTAGCATTTCACAATCCTAACAAGTGGAATAAAATGAGGCCATGAGGGAGGAGATTGGGTTATGGTGGCTAAGTGGGTGGGTATGTTGGGTGATTGATTGATTTTAGCTAATTCCATTTCATTACACGTTGGTTTGAGAATATCAAACCGTGGTCCCTACCCCCAAAAACCTTGCTCTCCCGCCACTGGGTATTGTCCTTGCTTTTGGACAAATCCAAAGTGGGATTACTAATATTTTATGAGACACGATATAGAATGCCAAAACTGACTAAGGAAAAAACTATCTATATTGGAATATGATAATGCAGTCATGTTATATCAACGACAAAAATATGTTACTTCCGAGAAACAACATGTTATGTTCAAATGTCTGCTTTATCCTAGTACATCAAACGCACTTGAATCAGCAATATTGGTTAATATATGCCACAACTAGGAAGATTCAACCTGTTTTGTTGCTGACTTAGGTCGTAACTCCTAGGCTATCCCTCAGACCTATCTGCAATAGACCAAGTAATTCCTGTTGGACTTAAGTTTGTAGCAGTATTATGTGAAAAGTGACATCAGAAACCATTGTGTGTAGTGAATGTGAAGAACTTTTATGAAATCTAAGGGAATCTAAGATTTGCTTTAACATTTACCAACTTTAATCAAAATCAACTCTAGAAGCATCACAATACATTGGAGAGTATTCAACTTTTGCCACCGACAAGAACAACAGGTTTTATCTAAATTTGTTTTATTAGTTTTGTCCGTAGATTTAAAGTGTTAGATAGGTTATGAAATTTGTTCAACCCTTGAGTTAATAAGACGGAATTACTTATGAATCTCACTTAAAAAAATTGCTTAAAATTCACCAAAATTATTTATAATAATCTATATTCTTTTTTATGTTAAAGTTATTTTTAACCTTTTAGTAAAGTTCTGTATGCTATTTATTTTCTTATTTTTGAGATGTGGGTAAAATATTTGTAACTAGTTAAGCACAAGAGCGTAAATAAATAATTGTTGTCTTAAATTTTTAAATAAACCAATAAAAATTAAAAATATTTTCTTTCAAGAATACCAAATAAAAAGAAAAATAATATTTACCGGTTCAAATTATCACTAATAAAAAGAAAAACAAATTATTTTGCTAGCATTAGTTAGAACTTAAGGTAGGTCGCTCAATAGTCATGTCTAGTGTCAACAAGCTAAGAATAAATCAGTTTCTTTTAAGCAATTTTATAATTCAAAAACAAACTGAGTTAAATGTACAATAAGAAAGGAAAAGAGAAAGAGACTAATTCCACAATTCAATATGACATGTTTAATAATTATATCAATATTTTCAATGAAATTTTTTTAATGTAATTTTACTTTTTATTTCTAAGAGTATTTTTTAAATTAATTATTTTTTTATAAATCATATATATTTAACATGTTTTCATCAAGAGTATAACATAATTTATTTTTTCTTAATTTATTTGCATAATTTTAGCTTAACAAAAATAATACACATGTATATTTTTATAATATATATATATATATATATATATATATATATATATATATATTTATTTGTAAGGATATCGTAATTTGAAATTGACCAAATTGATGCAGTCAAGCTTCATTGATATTATTATTTATTAAGAGAATTGTTACTCGTTAGTGATTTGAAGTTCAGTATCTTAGAATTGAAAACTAATACTTTAATCACTAAAATATTACGATTTTTAAATAAATAAATTATGTTTATATACAATATTCGCGTAAATATATAGATATAAAATATATAAATACAAATATATTTATATATTTTGATATATTTATATACTTATATATTTTAAATATTTATCGACGGATATATTCGTCGGTAAATTAGTCAGTAACTAATTATTAATTTACCGATAGATATATCCGTCGGTAATCACTTGATAATTTCTACCAATAAACACTCATTTTTCAACGATTACATATCTATCAAGTAATTAATAATTTTATTGTAGTATCATTTTTAAAAAATTTAAATTTAATTACTACACTCTTTTATTTTTAAAAACATTTTGTTTTAATTTTATAAATTTTAGTTATTTAAATTTTTTTCAATTAAATTTTAATTATCATATTATTTTATTATTATTTGATTTTAATTTTTATTATTTTGTATTAATTCTTTTTAATATTTCATTAATCCTATATTTACTGTTATTATACTACAATAATTTAACAATTTATTTATTATTTTTTATTAGTTTTTAATGTTAATTTAAAAAAATGGCTATCCTTTTTAAAGACCTTAATTACAATTTCAAATTCCACCAAACAAGTTTTTTTTTTTAAATTGAAACATTTTTTTTTTCAAAAGAAAAAAAATTGTCTTCTTTCTGTAAGATTTATAGATGGAGGATCTGTGCATGGGAAGAAGAGTAATGATTTCTACAAAGTGAGTTTTTTCATCCACCCATTATACATATGTTTACATGGTTATTTTTTATTAATTTTTATTTTACTGAGGTGGCAAATGAGAACATAATGAAATTTAAAAGTTTTTAAAGGTTAAAAATGGGGAAGAAACAAATCAGAAAAAAAAAATTCAATCGAAAAAGAAACACATCAAAATCTTTATGATGTCAGAATAAAGAAACAACGAAAAAGAAAATAGTTACCGGAGGGACAATCGTCATTTGGGTTGTCGAAGACACTATCTTTCTTTTGCATCCCGCCTTCGTTGTCTTGTGTCGCTTCTCAATTATCTTGTCTCATCTCCTAATCTTGACAATGAGAGTTAATCATTTTATTTTGTGTCATTTGTATTGTTTCCTCTATTCTTGCCCTTTGTTCGTGTGTTGTAAGTTTTTCATTTGAGTGGTGGGTTCAGTCAAAATGTTTAATAACCATTAATATGTTAATTAATATATATGTGGAGAGATATTGATAAAAAATTAATCTAATATTGATTTACATTTAATCTTTATTTATAACGTTCTATAATTAAGCTATACCAACAAATTTAGACTTTAAAAAATAGTGAAGTACCTTTGTACATTATCATTATTATAAATTTAAATATTTATTGTAAATTTAAAGGTACCTTTGTACCTTTGTTGTAAATAGTTAAATAAATAATTTTTGAGACAAATATTTTAAAAACTAGTAACCAAATTATTTTAATTAATATACGTTGCTTTAAAAAGAAAATCTCAACAGTTCCAAGTGTTATATTTATTTGGAAAATAATTACTATATATAATTTCTAAAATAAATAAAAAACTATGATTTTTTTTTTGAAGAATGATGAAAATAAATAATTGTCTTTTTAGTATTAGTTTGGTTTTAAACTACTCCAAATACTTAATCTAATTTATCCTACTTACATGAAATAATTTGATGTTTATAGTTATTATTTAATATTTTTTATACACTAAATTACATTTTATATTTACTTCAATTTTCTCAGCATTTCTCAACAAAATAACGTCATTCACCTCAAATATGGATTGGAGCATAAAACAATGTCTTACTGGTTACATCATCGCATTGTTAATAAAATCACATTCAGTTAACAAAAATGTAAAATTTCTATAATTTTGACATTGAAATAGTAAAATTGATGAAATTGAAAATCCATTTACAAAAATTCAGCAACAAAGTTGTATTTTAAAATACAGTCTGGTTAACCTCACCTGGAGACATAAAATAAGAATATCAATTACTTTATATTTTATTAGTTTATCTATTCAATTTATCTCTCTTAATTATTAAGACTTTACTAATACACTTTATTCAATTTATCTTCCTTACTAAGACTTTATGAATACACTTTCTTATTTTATGTTTCATATAAATAATTTTCACCTACTCATAATTATATATATTTAAAAATAAAAATAATTTTTTTTAAAAATATAATAATAATAATCTAAAAAAATATCATAATAAATAAATAGACATAAAAACTTTATTCACTCGTGTCATTATAACGAAAATAAAATTAAAAAATCTATTAACACTTTTAATGGACAATAAATAAAATTAAATTAAAGATTATCTTGAGATAAGATCATGTTAGTTTACTAAAATATGGGAGAATGACATTATCATTAATTATTATAGAGAAAAAAATAAAAAAATAAAAAATAGTTATTGTTAATTTTCTTTTAAACCTATAGATCATACAAAATAATAATAATAATAATAATAATAATAATAATAAAATAAATGCAAGATAAAATAAAATAAAATAAAAAAATCATTATAAAAAACTAAATAATTATATTTCTTTATATTTTTTTAAGTGATTGAAAAAAACATTTTTTATTTTATCAGTTTATATATTCAGTTTCTCTCCTAATTATTTATCACTTTATATTTTTTAATAAAAAAATAATTAATACTCTTATTACCCGTCTAAAATATAATGTATATTTTATTTCGAATTGAAAGTCACTTCACAAATCATCATATTAATGGTAACTTGACAGTAATTATTGCAGAGATAAAATAAGTATATTTTTTAATTCGGTAAAATATATCAAATAGAAAAATCAATGTAAAATACAAAAATATAAAACTTTAATTATAAAATATATAATTAATTCATATATTTTTTTCATTCTAAATTGACAATTGAATTTCTGAACGGAAAACAGAAAATGAGAGAACGTGGGTAATATATTGAGTTATAATAAGATTATATTCTCAAATTACGCAAACGACTTAAAGCTGTCTTAAGAAATTAAAATTGTTGGTCATACTACTTATTTTGAATGACTACGTATCTAACACAAGGATTTTATATGACCAACACTTGCAATTTCTTAAAAACGGCAACGATTTTTTCATTTTTAATGACGAACGTGCCTTTTTTTAAAACTTTATCTTGCAGACTGTATTTCTTAATGATTAATTTAAGAATATGACATTATAAAAATTTACTTCAACGGTCAGTGACGAAAAACAATTTTTATAGCTCCGTAACACGGGACGCACCGAAAAACATGAGCACAGTGCTTATTCTAGAAACCGCATGAAATCTAATTTGATAATTACGCATCACCAACATTTTCAAAAGAAAGAGCTTGACAGTACCTCCCAAATTCATTTTTAGTATCTGGGGCCAGGAATTAGGTGCCTACCGACATGCGATGAACGATGTCTTCAACTTCGGGAGAACTAAAGCAAACGCAGATTCGATAATAAGATTCGCTAAGCCCAACATTCTTTCAAGAAGCAATAAATTGGTGTCATTCAGCAACAGTTTCCTCCCAATCCCAAAGGAGAATTGTGACAGAAAGCTAGACACGTTTCGAACAAGTAGCAGTCTTATTAATAGAAAGGTGAAGGTCATGGAAGAATCAAGTAGTACACTTCTCTTTAAATTGACAAAAATTAGGACACAAGTTGGTAAAATGTGCATGAAAAAAAGTCAAACATTTTGCTGACACAATTGACCTTACACTATAAATGTTTTGACAATGTTTCATGACTCGAGATAAATTGATTCAATTTCCACTTTCTTTCATGTAAAAGGAATAAAAAAGAAAGTAAGGATAGCATATATTACAGGTCAATATTTCAAAATAAATAAAATTTAAACCGGGACTTGTTCTTGGATTAAAAAATGCGACAATGGATACAAAGGATACTCGAACCCTACAAGGGACAAGAGATGTTATATTCGTAAAAAATTCTCAGATCTTTGCTTTACCATCACCCAAACTATAAAATTTAAAATTAAAAGTAAAAAGTGGTGATCCAACAATCTGTCAGTTTCAGTATCAAGCAGCATAGATGTCAATCACTGTTGACGCTTGGTACGAGGCAAGAGAGCGAGAAGAATTTTTTTCCTTGGACCCTGCAACCCAAGCAACCCCCGTTAGACAAATAACAGAACATAATCAAATTGTCTACTCAGCACATGCACATAAAAAACACATTCTTTTGGAACGAACATTGGCGAACATGCACACCCAGAGACAAGAAATGCTAGCAACACTGTCTTTATTATCATCAATACAGAAGAGACAGACTCCTTTTGATCTTATCCATCTTTGTTACAGGACACTACTGGAGCAACTTTTCAGGAACATCACAAGATAAAAAGAACCAAGTAGAATTCCTCAACGATCACCTTTCACTAAGCTCAGATAGCAAAATTTACAGGACATGTTTATATTTAGTTGACAGAGAAGTGAAACATTCATTCATTTTGGTAGATGTTCTCAATCCATGCAGGAAATAGACAGCGTATTCACAGGCTAAATGTGCAAGTAAGAGGATAAATCATATCGACCCACCAAATGGCAATGAATAAGCAGACGGAAGAGGATTTATTGATAAAAAGTTAAACATAATCTCCATAGTTGATTTTCTAATCAATAGTTGTAATAGCACTTTATCTCCTAAGCACACCCCTTTTCCCTTTAGGAATCAAATCTAGATTTTTTGATTTACTTGACATCTGAAACATTATAATTTGTTTTACATGGCTTGTAATCAAATAAATTTGATCATTGATGGTGAACCTATCGAAGGAAACAGAAAGAGAAAGAGAAATACAAGGTATTGGACAAGCTGAAAAAAGGCATCTAGTACTACTGAGGAGATGGAAACAAAAAACAATGTTTAACAACATTTAACAAGATATCTTCCAATTCAACTCCATTATCCAAACTCATGCTTCACTGTCTTAAACATATGATATAAAAAGGACCAAATCCATATATTTGGTGTAATATTCACACCAGTAAGAGCCTCATTGAAAAACACGTGAATATATATGAAAAGAAAGATAATTCATTACCATAGGAATCCCTATTTCTTTGAGGTCATTTTCTCCCATTTGCTTCAACGCAGTCATATCCACCTGATTGAACATATCAGAGTATAATATACTTAGCAGTGCAAAAGTAAAATAAATATAATTCATATCTGAAGCATATTTATCAAAATCAAACTTCATACTTCATTAATCCAACTTCCGTACTAATAAATAAAGACACAAGACAATATAGGATCGCTTGAATGCTCAATACAACAAACTAGTTATCTAGTTCAGCTTAAAGAGTACAGAATGTCTAATGACAGTTGAAACTAAGAGATTATTAATCACTGCAAGATAATAAGAAGTAAGCTCCCATGCTGATATTTAAGGGGTAAGTTTAACCATTGCAATATCTCCACTCGTGCAAGGTTGAATACCAACCTAAAAAAGGAGAAAAAGATATTGAAAAGTATTTACAAGGCATGATTCTTTAAGCAATGTTCGACCTGTTAAACTATACCCAATTTATGCAACTTAAGAATGTCCCACAGAACAATCAATCGATAGTTCCAAATATTCATAGTCTTCTCCAGTAACTTTCTCTGGTAGAATTCCAGAAGGAGACAAAACGTAAATGATTTTGACATTTAACTGAACATATGACGACACAAGTTGTCAATTAAATTTGAGAAAATAAATGCAAGACAAAATATGATATTCAATTACAGAAAAAACTAAGTTACATACTTCCTCAGCCTTAAAGAGAATGGCATATTTTTGAAGTCCTAGTGCATGTAGCAGGCCATCCACAGTTTGGTTTGATTGTTGTACTTGTTCATCACCCTATTTGATAACCACAAAATCCACAGGTTAGGATGAACTTAACAGATAATCTGTTTTCAAGAATTAAACACACCACAAGTATCCCCGATTAATGCAAAAAAGATCGATAAAACTACAAATGCAATTAACGTAGACTTCCATAAATTAAAATATTATGTATAGATATAGGATGCAAACATTTGTTCAGAAAAAGCATAGAGCAAATATGTGCATAAGCAAACATAAAAAGTAATTTTGTTTATGAGGTACCCAATGCAATATCTATTGAATGAATATTTTTTTCCTAAACGAGTGATTCTCTAGTATAACCTTTCCAGTTTTTAAAGAAAATATTAGGATCATTCATCAAATAAGGGTCAACTGCGACAGTGTTTAATAGTGATAACCACCTAAGCACTTGGGAAACCCTCCTATAAATACTACACAATTAAGTACACACATTTCTCAAGAGAGGTATAAGAATAGAAGATGAGATGATCTCCTTCACGATATTTCAGCCCAAAGGTTTGTACTACATGGCTATATTTTCCAAAACAAAGACTATAGAGAGATTGGCATAATTTACAAACACATACTCTCCAACTAACAAGCTTAAGAGGTTGCTTCATATAGATATTTTCCTCTAGATCACATGAAGAAAGACATTTTTTATATCTGACTGATGGAGAGGCCAATGACAAATAACTGCATGGCAAACAAAAGTTAGACAACGGTAATTTGGGACACGAGAAACAGTATCACGATAATTGAGACTGTATACTTGTCTACCATTTGGCCACTGGTCTTGCTTTGAGGTTGTCAATTTTACCATTGGATCCAACTTTAATAGCCAACTTTAATAGTGGAAACCCACTTGCAACCAACAACCTTCTTTCAAAGTGGAGGAGGAATTAAGCTCATATGTGTTATTCTTGTCAAGAGTGTGCATTATCATTTCTTGTCACCATCGAAAATGATCAAGAGCTTCATGAGCATGATCAAAGATAGTAATAGAGGACATAGGAAAAAAAGAAGTAAGACACCTTAAAAAATTGTAAATAGGATGAGGATTGAAAGTAGAATGAATGCCTTTTGAAGAACAATGGGCCAACTAGGATCTTTCATATTGGTTGTAGTGGTATTTGAAAGGTAGTGGTGAAATAATAGAAGAGGACACACAAAGTACATCAAACCAATAACTTTTGTTATATGGGTGATCAAAAGGGATGATGATGGTTATGGTAGACTTGGAGGAGAGGAGCTCTATGTAGTGATTTTATTTGGAGTGTCATGAGGGGAATGACAATGATTCAACTAATGCAACAAGTAACACTTATTTGAATTGAAAAAAAAAAAAAACTAGCATTTTTCAGGGGAAGGAAAGAATGAGTCTCTTCAACTACCTTTTATTTTTTTGGGAATAGCATTGATCCCCTTTTTGGAGACGAGAATACCCAAGAAAACATATTTAATGACTAGTGTAATAACTTGTCCAACTCTAGGGACATGAAAAAAACATACACAACCAAAGACACAAGGAGATATGAAATAAAGTGGGGAAGCAACCAATAAGAATCACATCACCCAAATGATGAACTACTACAATAGCACCAAACAATAAGGAATAATTAGGTATTACCAAAAATATGACCAAAAGCGAATCGAGTATCCATGGACTTTGACTCCCCATGTTTGAGAAATGCATGTTGTCAACTATCCACACAAAGTGGAAGGTTGTGCTTGGCTACTGAATTTTAACCTGACATATTCTTTAATATTCTTCATTAGAAAACCTTGGTTCAACCCTTCTCAAATTAAGAGACATTGGTTGTATAGTCAAGGAAACCATGTAAGGAGAATTTCTCTTAAGTATGCCCATTCTCTTACAAGAAGAGCATTGATGACATCCACAAAAATTACATCTTCCTCTATTGCCACGACCTCCCCTTCCCCTAGTAGACACTAATTCAACAAAATCAAAAGATTTTTGCATTGAATGGTTGGAACACAACATCAATTTGTTAGGCTCTCCATTGATGTAACTTCTTGACCAACTAGGATGTGATCACAAACATGACTAAAATTTGGGTTCATGCACAAAGGAACATAACCAAATAGAACTTATTTAACTTTTTAATATTATCCAATGGATCAACTTCTAAGAACATCTCCAACTCCTCAACAATTGATTAGGCATCAACAATAAAAGAAGTCATGTCATGATATGTTTGTTAAAGAGGTGCCACTTTATGAGTAGAATCTTCAAGGTGTTGAATATCATTTGCAAAAATACTCTTAGCCTTCCAGAAAGTGTTACAAGTTTCGAATAATGAGTGCCCAATATATTGGGTTTCACAAATTGCCTCAACAAAGCATGAAGTTGAAAATCAATTCTTACATTATTCAGCTTTTTTATTTGGTACTTTACTACCATCTTCCAAGTGACCATGGAAACCTTGCCCAAAGGAACCAAAGCTAAACAAATGTAGAGAGGAAGGTTTTTGCACTTCAACCAAAGATGGAAAACAAGAAATGAGGATGGAAATAAGAACAAGGATGTCCAACAAAACCTGTGGTGGAGGCACAGGTTGCTTCGATGACTAGTAATAACACATGGCTTTCATGCAACAGGTTGCAGAGAACAAAGATGTTACACCTGGCAACGCATGGAGCTGATCCAACCTCTCCAACTAGGTGGGTTTAGTGTCGCTTGGTTCTACAACAATGGAAGAGGACAATGGACAATGATGATGGATAGAGGGTTCTTTGTCGCTTGACAAGACAAACACAACCAAGATATGGTAGCCAATGGCAAGTGGTGGTATTCTCATTGGATAATAACAAGCAAAGCGTGATCAACCAAGATATGAGAAAAATGCTCAAGATATTGAGATATATCTCATCTAATTCACATATTATATATAAGAATCCTTTTGTCAGATATACAAAAAAGAGAAACAATTGTTAGTTTTTCAAACGAAGACAAAAGATAAGTCGACCTATTCTAACCAGTTAAACTCTGCTAACATATCTAAAATCAAATAATCAAAAACAGCTAACAGGCAAATGCACAATTTTACATTATTAGACAATCCAAATTCAAGGTCAAATTACAGTAAGCAGTCCTATATTTGATCCAAAAAGAAATGCTATTGTTATTAAATGAGCAGGATTATACCACAATAATTCCAAGCCCGCCCCTAGCACTGCTTTCTATCAGAGAGTAAATTTGAGTTGTGGTTGTAGCACTGCTAATTGCAGCTGATTTTGCAGCCGCCAGCTTTTATTGGGGGCAGCTGCTTCACACCACTTAAGATAATAAATGTAATGCAAAAAATTACACTTAACATATACTAGTGTTCAAATTAAAAAGAAAAACAAAACTCAAAATGTTAAAGTCATACTCATCATTAATAATAAAAAACCACAGCTTAAAGGAAGGCAGAAAGACAGCAGAGTAAGGAAACTGGTTCGTGAAGTGCTGACCTTGGCTGGAAAATGTCAAAATGTGTAGCCAACTGGAAGAACAACAGAAAAAATATGGGAGATGCCAACTAAGGATTTCTATCCTTAAAATGGTTTCTTAGGAGACTATGATGTAGAATCATAGAAGTAACACTAAAAACACCGACTTATTTATCTATGAAAAGAGAGGAACAACATGAAGTTTCACTTGTGGGTATAGATACCACATATTTCAACCACAATTTTGGCCAATACCCATGCGATGTTAAATTCCCAGTAGCAGATTCTCCATAACCACAAGAAAAACTCCAGGTGGCAGTCCTTCTTCAAATTATTCAAAGTTTGAAAGTTCAAAACATTTTTAGCACACTGTATCAAATTGACTAACGTGACCCAATTATACAAATCAGGTTAAGCCAGTCACTCAAGCAGTTGTTTTACATGGTAAACTACTGTTACCAGAATGAGAGCTTCTAAACTATCATGATATGCAGATAGCAGAGTTCACACACATACTTATTTAATTAATAGATCTGATTAACGACAAAAAATTTATAAGTACCAAGTTACCAACCCTCCAAAAATCAGATCCCATAGTGGAATATCAATTAGCTGCAATTGTATGTAATCTCTCCCCAGTAAAATTTTAATTCGCCATTACTGTTGTTATAAAATGGATTGCTTAAAGAATCTTTTTATTTAATTTTTGTTGGTCTTCATGGCTATGGAATACTGAGGAGTATATGCTAACTTACATAAACAACCTCCTTGCACATACTATAGCCAAACGGGAAAAACACAATCAACTCAGACATCCATCAGATGATAACAGGAAAAAGGGATAGCTACAGGTCAAAAGATGATTAATACTCACCACATACGAAGACCTTTGTGCAACACTGCTCGATGGAGGAAGTTGGCCAGGATGAGATGTTACAGGCTTGGCAGTTACTGGAGGCAATGTGGACATTGCGGAGCGTGACATGAAAGATTGAGGTGTACTCACTGGAGGCCTCGAAGTTTCAAGAACATCCCTACTTACATATGGAACAGATCTGACACCATCATATGTCCTGTTTAACGGCCTTCTCTGTAGGTCTTGGGCATCCCTTTGAGGGGAAATACCCCTGGATGTACTAGGAAACCCATCTGGCGATCTTCTCCTAATATGATCCAATGTCCAAGGAGAGTACGAGCTTCTCATGGATTCCATGCGCATTAAATCATCAGAACTTCTAGCTGAGGGAATGTGCCTCAACAAACTTGTTTCCCGTGATTCTGGCATGTGCTGCTTAGAATTAAAATTATTTGTTAGAGGGTGAGTTGCCTTTGAAAGTTTTTCACGGAGATCCATATGCCTCTTGCTACCATTGCTGTCAGAATGCCTAGATGCACTTTTTTGCATGAGCTTCAACCGAAGATCATCTTTACCAATATGTCCATATAAGTAAATTAAGAGGAACAAGATTAGAAATATAAAAACCATTGAGTAGCATAAAGATGCAAGGTCGGTAAAGTCACTGCAAAGGGAGCTTACTGCCATCCAGTCCATTTTGCATTCTTACATCTCCTCGCTGTCTGCAGAAAGTATAAACAACAGAATTCATGAAAGCAAGTTTTAATTAAATCATAGAAAGAGCAGGGCAGACTATTTTCTCTCTCTTGTGGAACTGTAACAAACAAACCACAGACACACCGTTTATTGCCGCCAAGTCCATTTCCGTGCCACACAGAACTATCTGCATTATTTCCAATCCTGTCTCTCACAGACCGCTTAGTGCCAGCTGAAGGAAGAGAAGAGAAAGAAGAAACATCTACAGAAGATACATCCCTCTTCACAACCTAAACTCAAGTAAAATGCAAGGTCATGACATCAATCAAATCATGAAATACCAGCAAAACTCTATCTCAGTAGAGGTAACAAAAAAAGGTAAACCAAATTAAACTGCATTCCTTTACTCCTAATAAATATATTAAACAAAAGAATAGCACAAAATCATGCCGAATGTAGAACTAGAGGTAAGCAAAAAACGAAATCATTTTGAATCATGTATATATTCTGCCAAAAAAACAACCAAAAACTTCAAAAAAAGGTAAAACCTAACATTAATTGATAACTTCCGAGAACACTATTTGACGAAGCAAGTAGAAACAAGTCAAATCCAAACAAAGTGAACAGAATCAAAGTTGCGAACACGCAGACGAAGAAGTTTCTTGCATGTAAAGCACACGAAATTGCAACCTACCTGACCGCTACGCCCTAGAGTGATGGTAACGCGACCCCTCGAAGGATCGGACATGGCGACAACCGAAACCCTAAACTACCAACTGAGTAAAACTCTGAAACCGCAAATTGTTCCCCTCGGAATCGCGAATAGTTAGTGTAACCCTAAACCTAACCCTTATTCCATTGCCGCGACTCGAAGCAGAGACCAACTACACGTCAACACCGCGGTTTGACAGATAATAACAGAAACGAGTTTCGAGATTCGGATTAAGCTCAGAGAGAGAGAGAGAGGAGAACGAAAGTTTATTGGTGGATGAGAAAGAGGCGAAGAATTTGCGTTGAAGTGGAAACGGTGGAGTACCGAGGGGTAGTGTGTGTAGCTGTGCACAGGGAATATCGTGGCAGTGTGATCGAACCAGGACCGTTTGATCAAAGATCGAGGTGATAGAAAGGGCTAGGCCATTAACTAATAAATGCTTTCTATTTTTCTCTCTAGCGTGGTTTGTGTGTTCTGAAAGATCTCGTGTTCAGTGTAAGAAAGACCTCAAAAAAAGCGTGGGAAAGCCCCCTGCGAAAAAGATAAATTGAAGGCCCAATAGGGTTAATCTAATTATTTGTGTAAAGACCATAGGGTTAATTAATTTAATTATTTTTGTAAATATATCTCTTGTTTATTGGTAAATATAACCATTGTTTTTTAAATCATCAATAAAAAGCATGATATATAGACCTTGGTGAGACTCACCTTATTATAGAAGTCTAGTAGGACAATCCCTAAACACACCTCATCATTTACTAAGTACACCCTCTTCTTCGTCTTTTATATTTTTCTTTTCAAAAAAACCCTTTTTTTTATGTGTCTTCTGCTTTTTATTTATGTGTATATCTTCTTCTCCATGAAGAAGTGTATCCTTCATATATATATATATATATATATATATATATATATATATATATATATATATATATATATATTCTAATGTTTGGATCCACAAAGTGTTTTTTTTTTCTATATAAGTATTATCTCACATTCAAGTTAGACTATAATTAATGAAGTAATAAGTATAATAAATGAATATTGTGTATCTTACCATCTTTCCTTATTTATGCTATTTCAATGAAAATTTACTTAGGTCTTTATCAAGTGACCAATTGAAATTTAAGCTTGAGACATAGAATGGCAAAAGTCTTTAGAAATCAATTTTTTATTACTTTTACCAAGGTTTTCTAGTTGAGGTCTTCTCAACTCAATGAATATATTAGCCTTGAACCATGAACAAAGACTAAGTTCTTGTTTAAATTAAGAATAGGTGAAAGAAATAAAACATGCGAAATATAAAGTGAAAAAGTGAGATTGTGTTGATTAGCTGAAAGTGTAAAAAAAAATGAATAAAAAAATTATAAACGATTTGATTGAACTTTATAAAATAAAATATGTATACTGATTGATAATTTAAGCAACTATCAAAATGTTATTGGTTGAAAATTAATATGAATAAATATAAATTTAAAATGGTTAAATATGAATCAGTATATTTAATTAAAAATTTTAAATTATAATGAAAATAGTTAAAAACTTTCTAAAAATATTTGCTTAACATATTAATTGAAAAAATAAAGAAAATGAAGAAAAAGAGAAAAAAAATTATTTAGCTGAGAAAATAGAAAAGATGTTGAAAAAAATAAAACAAAAGTATTTATTATCCTTGTTTTTTTAAACCTATTTGTATTTATAATTTATTATTTTTATTATTAATATCTTGTTGTTTGAATCTATTGTTTTATTTTGGAAAAAAATAATAAACAAAAGAATAAAAATGATTGGAAAAACATTAATGAAAATAACATAGCGTGAAAAAGAAGGAAAGTCATCCACCATGAAGAAAACAACAGAAAAAGGCAAAAGGGTGGGACCTTCTCCAAATATAAACCGCACAAGCAATTAATAAATGACATGAGAATAATAATAACTGTAATTTTTTTAACATAATTTTTTTTAACTAATTTGCTAAGAGGTCTAGATAATTTGAAATAAAAGATTATTAATTAATTAATTAAAGATGTTTTATAAGAATATTTTGTTTTAAAAGTAGAGAATTTACTTATAAAGGATAAATAACTTTTATATGGTATAATATATTTATATAACCATTAATTATTTGAAAAGTCTTGAAAGCGTTCATTGGTAGCTTTCATATCACACAACCTTCACATGTTTTCTTCGAAGAACATATTGGTGGCAGAACCACGTACATTTTTTTACAACTGAATTGATTTAGACTCTTAAAATTTAAATGTCTAAACCTGTAATGCTACAACCAACTTTCTTTTTCAACATCAATGGCAGATAAACATTGAAAAGCAGTAACATTCAATTTTACTTTAAGTGTTCTAGTTTTTGAATCATACACTTCAATGTGCTTCTGATTCATGGTCACGCTGTAACCCTTTTCCAATAATTTCATAAAAGCAAGCAAATTATTTTTCACTCTAGGAACATACAAAACATCATGCATATTATGTGTGATCATATTCCAATTCCTTCTGCTAGAATTGTGTCGTTATCAACAAATCTCACATTCTTAACAATGGAATCAAGATCTATCAACCAATCCTATTTCTAGTTATGTGATTCGAACATGTGGTATCAAGATACCAAGAAAAACAATCTTCATCACCATATGTGATCACCATCTATAGTCGTCCCTGATCTGAAGAATTAGAATATCTGCTTCTACCTCCACGTTTGATCTTCCTCTTGGTCTTTTACTCAATCTGCCATGACCCTTGTTCTTGTATTGACTGGTTCTGACCTGAAAGGCTTGGTCAACAACTCTTTCTCAGCTCTTCCTCTCAATTACACGTTGCACATGTGCTTCCAAAAAATTTTGCAGTTCCTCCACAATCATAGCTTCAAGATCCTTTGATTCTTCAATCAAATTGAGGAGTTAATATTTTGAGTACCTTCTCCACAATCTTGTTATCAGTTACTGGGCCATCACAAACCCACATGAAATTTGTTAATTTGGAGCATGTTGAAATATTCTACAATCGTTTCTTGTTCAGCCAAGAAATTACTCTGATACCAATATTTGTTGGAACAAGGCAGACCGCACACACATACATAATAAGGCACAAACAACTTAACAAAATTGAGAAATAAGAAACTTTCTCATGTCACTTAATTTACAAAAGTTTACAAATATTTAAAACTATGCAAAATCTATATAACTGTAATTGTTACAATTATAAATACTTGTTTTTTTAATAAAAGTGTATAAAAAAAGAAAAATATTTTGTTTATATAAAAAAATTACTTATTCAAAGAACAATATAAAGAATATTATTATTCACAAAAATAGATATAACCACCAAATTGTAAGAAAATGTTGATAAGGATAAAATCTACCTTTTTTACACTTATTCTTACAACAAATAAATTTATTCACTCATATATATATATATATATATATATATATATATATTTATAATGAACTCATATTTTTTAACCTTGTTTTAACGATCAAATTTGTCATAATTCTAACGGTTAGTATATAGGTGAATTATTAATTCTAACTGTTAGTATACATGTGAATTATTGATTAGACCATAAAAGTTAGAGTGATAAAATATGTTAAACCAATTAAAATTATTAAAAATATAGAAAATAAATAAATAAATTTATATAATTTAAATTAAAAAATATTTTTTTAGATCAAACTAAAATGGTGTTTTAATTCATACAGACCAAATCAAATTGTTTGGTGTATTTAAAATTTGGGTTGGGCTTGGCAACCATAGAGAACCCATTGAGTTTTTTCAGCCTACTCTAATAAAAAGTAACATCATTTGATGAGAAAACAGCAAATCAAATTTTGTTATAGTCAGGAAGTAAGAAAAGAGATATTGTTTGTCAAAGATGTTGCAGCGGCTATAATGGAGTCTCATTCAACAATTTTTTTGGAAAATGAACGAAATTGTAGTTGAAAGCACAACTTTAGCTTGAAAAAATCGTGTTTTTATGAATAATAATTGTGTTAAGAAGTAACATGATCGTAGTTGTTTTTCTTTTTATTAATCTAATATGATTTTATGATTTTTTTAAATAGGATTTTTTTAAATATATTATTTATACATTAATTAATTTTGGTTTAATTATTAATCTGAAATAAAAAAATATACATATTAAAAGAAGTAAATACATGGATAAATTTAAATTAGTATATAATAGAAATTAAAATATTATATTATTTAAAATAGTATAGAATTTATTGTAAAAATTTCGAATCCAAATTCCTAATGAAATAGATGTGCCGATTTCAAATAAACCGAGAAAATGTGTGGAAAGGAAGATATGTCCATTTAGATAATAAATTTAAATTATTTTTTTAAAATAATATAATATTTTAATTTCTATTATGTATTAATTTAAATTTATTCATGTCCTTATTTTTTATTATTTTTATTTTCTGTTTCAAATTAATAATTAAATCAAAATTAATTAATTTATAAATAATATATTTTTAAAAATCAAATAATTCTATTTTTAAAAATAAAATTATCCTAAAATCGTATTAGACAATACAATTTTAATTAAAAAAAAAACTATGTTATTTAAAACAATTTAAAAAAAACACTACAACTAAAATTGTGCTGGCACGATTTTAACATTGAACTAAATTTTTTTTCACGCTAAAATTATATATCTAAACATGATTCCACTCATTTGTAAAATTTTCCGCATGCAATGCTATCACGTAATTTTTTTTTAACCTAGATACGTAAAAAAAAAACTCAAAATGATGTTGAGGAGGATGAAGACTATGTGCTGACATTGGTTCGGGGATAAGAATGAAAATAACTCCCTCCGGTAATCGAGGATCAACATGCATAGAGAAAAATCATAATAAGCTTTTATATAAAAAAAATGTAAAATAAAAGGAGGTGAGAAAAGTCTACTTTTGTTTTGTTATTTACTCTTTGTGCTGCATAAAAATCCTAGGAACCATTGCTTTCAAATCCGTTCCAACAGTGTCTGTGGGAGTAACAATCAATGCTGCTACATGCATGGCC